GACCGTTTTTTCACATTTAAACAAATGCGAAATAAATGCATTTAAACGTTCCCAGTTATCATGGCAAAAAACGGCCTAAAAACATACGGCCAATGACATAAAAATTCCATTTAAATGCATATTAATAGCATATTAAATGGCATTTAATTGGTAATTAATTACACCGTTCTCGATGTCCTGGGTAAGCGTTAACTGACACAGACTCTGTATTGAGTAAAATCCCAAATTCCCAACGTTCATGTGTGCACATATATGTCAAGATAAATATATTGTTATGTATATGCAGAAAACATGTCGATTTTAAAAAAGCAAGCAAAATTAATTCACATTAATTATACATTTGGAATGAAGATAAAATAAAAATTATGAAACTAACTCAAATAAATTTAAAAAACGAACAAAAAATCAAAATTTGATTTTAATCGACTTTTTTGCAAAAAAACTAATTTCGCTCACTAACAAATTAAAAAGCTCTTATATTAAATTGAAGCAAGCTAATTTTTTAACTCCGAATTAGTTTAAATTCATTCAAAAAAGTTGACCTCAAGCCAAAATTTACAGTGGGCTGCATCAGTATGCCATTTTTGTTTCTCATCGCTCATTTGAGAGAAAGCCAGCATTATGGTGGTCAAACTCCAAGCAACCGCCTTCAGCTTACTCAATCTTCTTGGATCACGTGATTATCCGTAGTCTCGTGAACCTACTCATCACACTCAACATAGCCAACCTACCCAGACTACGCTACATATTATCATCATTACATACACATCTGTAACCAACTCATGCATTTTGAGAATTTTTGCGTTACACGCCACACCCGTATTTTGACCGCTGTTTCACTATACACTATGTAACAGGATTGTGACAGCTCTGATCATTATGCAATGTTTCGTTCATTTTCCCGACTTCGGTTTCATCATCACCAATAACTTGAGATGTCTAGAAAACCACTTTCCACACGTTTTTTCAGAAAAGCGTAAGCGAGACCTTTAGATTATTTTTGATGCTCTACATGATGGGCAAAGGGAAATTCTTGCGGCTAATAGTGAATGTATAAAGTGGGCGGACCTGTGTGTAAGCACCCCTTTTTCAAAATTAATATATACAATAGAGGACACTCCGCACGTTTTTCACATGGAAACATTTTACGGAGAAAGTAGTGAGGGGATTTGATCAAAACTAGGCATTCATAAATTTTATTCATAAATCTTTACTATCAACGTGGGATTTGGAAATTTGACGGCGATAGTAGAGATTTATGAATAAAATTTATGGATGCCTAGTTTTGACTAAGGGATTTATCCATAACAGTTCCTCATAGCTGTACATGTAATGATATATTGAATCATCAAGCTAGTTTTCTTTTGAAAAAAGTTGCCTCCAATTTCTGATTGGCTGTAGGACGTCATTCTTTAATATATGGATATACTTTATCGATGCATATCCTAATCGGCAAAAAAGTCAAGATTACCTTTCACTCGTAATTTAAGTATGCTTCAATTCACACGGGTTAACGTGAACTAATAAAAATGAGAAAAACAACATGATTTTAAAGTAAATAAAATTCTGATGAAACTATCGCCTACATTGCATGATCGTTTTTTCTCTCTTTAGTTTAGTTCTCTTTCATACAGTTTCAGTTACACAAATTCTACGAAGTTGGTAGCACAGAAAACTTACGGTAAATAAAATAATTGTTTCTTTTGTATTTGCAATCTCTATCGTACTGGTACTCCTAACTTGATACTGCTACAAGTTGAACACATACTCACACTCTACACACACCATACTAGAGGGTGTGATCGATCTGTAGAAGAACCCCTAACTTTTGTAAGTGTCATTTAGCAACTAATCTAGTTATCTTCGCTTGTCGTTGTGAAAAAGCGTCTTTTTTTCAGTTTCTTTTCTCGCAAGTCCTCGAATTCTACCAAAATCTGCCTTCTTCTTAGTCTACTCTATCCACTGTTTCCGATTTCAATAACTGGAGAAGGAAAAATATTTTGAGTAACACCAGAATTTACGGTAGTAAACATTTTTTGGTATTTTTTGGTTGCTATAAAGTTACTCAAAACATTTTGTGTATTTTTTTCAAATAAAGCTTTTCCTACCTCCCTGACCTGAACCGCTGACTCTACCGCAATCATATGTTTCTTACACAGGTGTAATCATTTCAAAATTCTTAGAACTTACCGTTACCGTTCAAAAACTTTTTACTTGAACTCAGAATTTTTTCTAAAAGTATCAACTCTTCGCATCTTGTTGTAGTTTTTCTTCGTAACAAAAAAAGGAAAAATATTCATGAAAAGCCTGTTCTATCCATTTTTTGATAGTAAAAGACTACATTTATTAAAAAAAATCTCAGAGCGGCACCAGTCAAAAAGATTTTTTAGAACGACTGTTCTAAAACTCTTATCTATCTGAACGTTACCGGTTACAACTTTAGAATCAGCTGTGCATGAATTAAACGAGCAGAACTTATCCGAGAGAGTGTTTATCGATGTTCTTTAGCCAAAGGAGGCTGTTTCTAACCTACAAGTAGAATCAAATGGGCTTTGTGGCGTAAAATTTAACCCTCTGTACTACATACACACTTCAGATTTTGGTTTCATATCATAACCTAACTGCAGTTATGCATGTATAGTTTTCTAGTACGATGACTCATAAAATTTGGCTAGATATTTACACTTGTAAAAATAAGAGTGAACTTGAAACTTTTACGAGAGAACACACCGTATGGAACGGAATATAAAACAGCTAAAGTTATTTTTTCAATACATGTTTTAATTATCAAGTAATGAGTCTCTTTGAGCATATTTTCAGTAACTTTTCTATGAGATAATCAAATGTCACGTGACACTTCATATACATTCAGTATGGATAGTGTAGAGTGATTCGCTAAGTAGTCACGTGCTACTTATCAGTCGATGCTTCTGTATAGTTTGATGCATTTATAGTCTAAAACATTGTCACCGATAGAATGCATCATATGTTTACTACTAGAGCATTGCAGTGTTCTAATGGTATTTAAGGGATTCAAGCAGTGTCTAAAGTGTTTCTCAGATATATTTCACTCGATCGGGTTTCCAATCTGGCAGTTGGCATCTAGTCTTTTTAATGTTGCATACAGAAATCTGTATGTGGAACATAAGAACACACTGAAAGGAAAGAGAACAAGCAATTCGCTTTGCTTCTTCTTAGAGAACTAGCAAATAAGGAGATATCTCTTTTCGCATATGTATATCTTTCTGTTCTCTTTCTATTCAATTGACACGTTGAGACGAAAGAATGGGATATCCTATGTGGAAAGAGATATCTCCTTATTTGCTAGTTCTCTATTTTCACACTGTAAATTCGTGTTCCATATAAACGGGTGACATTTTCATCCACTTATGTGTTATCATCCATCAGAGTGGGTGATTTTCCTTTGCTTATCACTCATCACCCACTTTTGCAGTTCAAAAGTGTTATCCTGCTGGGTGACCGGTAATTCACTTTTATAGGTGGCATTCTCTACAAAAATGGGCTATCGGTCACCCAGTAGGATAACACTTTTGAACTCCGTATCGTCTCCAAAAGTGGGTGATGAGTGATAAACAAAGAAAAATCACCCACTCTGATGGATGATAACACACAAGTGGGTTAAAATGTCACCCGTTTATATGAAACACGAATTTACAGTGCTTTTGTTTGATAAAAAAGTTGTCTCTTTTCTTTCTGCGCACGTTCTTTTTGGACTGAATGCGTGCGCACCTTGTCATATATTAGATAAAGAAGATGCGTTATACACTAAAGCTCTAATGACATTTCAAAAAGTGACAGTAGAAAGTTGACGAGAGTTTTATCTTTATCATTATCTTTTGTATTTTTACAATACATTTTTAATTTTTACGATACAAGTCGTTCGAAAACCCCGTTTGATCCACTTCTGATGCACATACTGGATATGATAGTAGTTAGTTTGACCGACTTATCATTTTTTCATACGATTCAGCTAGAGGTGGAAACTCAGTAAAATCGAAATATCAAATATCTGCAACAAAGTATAAAACAAAATCCGTTTTTTCGAAATAGTATATCTCATTTTTTTCTTTTTTTGCTTGCTTAAGTGCTACTTGATCTTTTCGATAAAGGATTTACATACGAAACGAGAGAAAACACTTTCCGCCGAAAGTGCTAAATGGAAAAACTGTAGCAATTTCATCTACATGAACATTCAAGATTTTATCTAAATTATAAAGGTAGATAACTTCATAATCGCATCTCAACATTTGCGCGAAAAATTAACACAAAATTTGACGCAGAGTGATTCTTTTATCACTGAACATTTTTCATAGCAAAAAGTGATATTAGTGGAACTCTGACGAAAATTCAGGGATGGTCGTGATCGGATTACTGATTATACTTCTTTTTCTCTGATTTTGTCCTACGTTTTTTTCAGCTACTATTCACGTTGATATTACTTGAAACATGTTCGTATTCCACCACTTGTAAATGGTTTTCCTCTGCAAACAGTTTCTCTTCGTCTTTATACTCGATTGCCATCGACTAGCACAAACTTAGAATCGATGGCTTGCTCATCTTAGTACTATCAAAATATTTTCCATAACAATCTTAAGACATGAGCTTAGTCTACTCTATTGTGTATCGGCCTTAATCTTTGCAATTGTATTTATTCTCATTTATTTACTCTTTCTTTATTTGTTTCTCTTATTCATTTTTTATGTTTATCGCTTGTATTTTGTGTTGTATGGCTTGACATCTTTTGAGAAAATATCTTTGACCTTCTACTCTTGTGCTTGTTATAATAATTTATTTATTTAAGCAAATACAGTGGATCCACATTCCCATCATTTGTGCACCTAACATCTTCTCTCATTGTGTTTCACTTCTTAGATTTATTCATTAACATGAGCCTTTTAAGTATCATCTTTACCGATGTCACACTATTGTCTTTTATTAGTACACTGTTGTTAGTTATATTAACAGCTGTTGCTTTACTTATGCGTCGTGCTGCGAAGAATGTCCAACATACAATAACAATTCCTGGTGAAAAAATCTCTGATGCTGAATTAGGAAATCTGAAGGACGTTAGTCACGCTGGCAGTCTTCATGAGTACTTGATGAGATTGCATAAAAAATATGGTCCCATCGCATCATTTTATTGGGGCAAACAATATGTTGTTAGTTTGGCATCTATCGAGTCATGGCATGCTACAATGCGTTTGTTTGATCGTCCGGTCTTATTATTCTCCTTATTTATGCCAATAATTGGTGAGAATAGTATTCAATATACAAATGGTCCTATCGGTAAACAACGCCGAAAAGATTATTATGATGCTGCATTATCTAAGGCATCGGTTCGAAATTCATACTGGGTATTTGAGCATGTTTTACGCGAGAAACTAAAACAGTGGAACAATGAGCGATATGGAACACAACAAAAACCCTTACCAGTTCATCAAGAAATGATATCATTGGCAATATCTTCTATTTCTCTACAAGCATTTGGCTTGTTGTTACTATCTGACAGTCAGAATAATATTCAGCATGCCTATCAAATATGTTGGAACGATATTGAAGAACGCATCAAAGGATCATTTCCAGAACAAGGTTCAGAACGAGAGAAAGAATTTAACAAATCACTCGACTATCTGCATAGCAAAGTGGACGAAATGATCAACAAAAAACGTAACGGAGATAATGAACTGACAAATAGTTGTTTTCTCGATTATCTGATGAATAGTGGCAATATTACAGAGGAACAAATACGCAGTGAAGTTATAACAATGTTGGTTGGAGGCTTTCATACAACAGGAAATCTTCTCACATGGACACTGTATTACCTGGCCAAGCATAGTGATATTCAGGAACGTGTGTATAGAGAACTAATCGATGTTCTTGGTCTTGAAATCCCTTATCCATCGTTTGAGCAAGTTGATCAATTACCTTATCTGTCGTGTGTAATTAATGAATCATTGCGTTTACCAGTTCTCGCACCATGGGCTGCTCGAATATCATCGAATGATGAATTAGTTTGCGGTTATACAATTCCAGCTAATACGCCAATGATTCAAGCATTAGGCGTTGTATTAAGTGATGAAAAAATATGGAATAAACCCAATGAGTTTAATCCCGATCGTTTTCTAAACAGAAAGTCTACTTTAGCTTTTTCTCCTTTTGGTTTCGCTGGTAAGCGAATTTGTCCCGGTTATAGATTTGCAACGTATGAAACAAGTATAATCGTTGGTGGAATAATAAAAGCATATCAAATACGACTTGCAGATCCGGATCAAACTGTTGTGCCTGTGCATGGCCTCGTCACTTCACCAAATGAAGAAATATTTCTCTGCTTAGAACAACGTGTAGAGAAATAAATGATCAGGAGGCATAGCTGTTTATTGTTGATCATACACATCTTTTTACTCTTTTGTCGCTTTCATTTTCTTTATCTCTGTGTATTTTCTTGTTATGCCCTCTGAATAGTTTCTGATGTAACCTTTTCTTTTGTCATCGTGAACAATATTTTGTGTTTGTACCGACGTTTTCATTAAGTGACATAATGAATGATTTCTTGTCTCGTAAACAGGTTAGAAGATTGGCTAGGAACAGCCTAACAAAGATTCATCTGAGAACTCCTCTCACTTTATTCGCATACATTCAAGCCTGGAGATCCTCATATGGTACATGGACATGTTGATAAACAGTGTTTATCTAAGTTTTGTGTGGAAGTCTAGCATCAATTTTTCCATGAAATATTTTCTGCTTAACTCCCACACGAAGCTTAGGAAAATTCCTTGTCTCATATGTGTACATAGATTTTTATTATCCGTTGTGCCTATCCTTCTACTCTCTTGTGTCTGACATCTACTGCTTTCTAATAATTTCACTTTTTGGTAGATCGAATACTTTCTCCTATCCAGAGAACTACCGTAGTCCCGATGAATCTTTTCGTTCCCACCTCAATCGAATCAGCTTCACTTTTGCTTTTCGTAAAGAACGAAACTTCATTTCTTTTTAGATCCTGTGATCATGACGTCCGATTCGAAGCAAGAAACAAAATGTTCAAGTACACGTTTGGATGGTTATGACCTCCATCAGTCGAATGGTAAACATCATTCGTCGCAAAAATCAAATGGTCACACAACAGTTCTGAATGAGTGTAATGAGAATCAACATGATGCATACGAAAAGTTGAATAAATGGAAGATGGAAATGGATAATGAATTAGAAAGGGTCTATTCTTCGAAACGAACAGAAATTGATAATTTGTTAAAAGTAGATACAGATCTAGTTGAGGTCAATATTGATGATATCCCAGTATTTGATAAATTTGTGAAAGTATCGAAGAAAGAAAAAAAACAAGAAGAGAAACAAGAATTTGATGTAGATAGATTAGTTTGTTTACATGAGTTTAACTTGAAAACAAGTAATGAAGTGATATGTTCGTCAGATAAATATATTTTAGTTTATGAAGATGTCATTTCAAAATTAGTATTGTACGATAAACAGAAAATGATTCTACAATACGACTGGCATCAGTCAGAATATGAGCACTTACATGATATGTGTTGGTCGACTGCAACACAAAATTTTCTTTTAGTAACAAATCGTCATTTATTTACTTGGAATCCATCAAATGATGTGATTAAAATTGATTGTATTCGACCAGTGAATGGAAGTCTCCTATGGTCAATAACAACAAATATGAGCACAGATTTGTTTATTTTATATAAATTGGGTAATTTTATTGATCGATGGGAATTACCATCGTGGCGTTTAGTTCAACGATGGTCAAATCATGATTTATTTGCTGAAAATGATCAACGAGTAAGATGTATTAGAACAAATGATATTCATGTAGCTATGACAGTTGAATCAATGACATTATTTCAATGGCGAGTAGATATATTTGATTTAAATTTAAATTTAATTCGACGTGGTTTCAATATCAATAATCTAACAAAACATTCTACATGTTTATTGACAAAATTTCATTCGGATCAATGGTTAATTATCGATAATAATAAAAATAATATGTTTTTAGTTGATCAAAATGGTGTTGTGGAGCAAAAAACAGCAAGCAAAATCAAACATCGAATAAAAAATGCAGTAATGTTAGACAACAATCAGCTTGTGTTAAAATTACAACAACCAAATCAATTACAAATATATTTACTCAATCAACACTAATAAGCAAATTATTAAGAATCTTCCCTTTGGCATTGACTCTCTTTGTATGAATCTCATTTCAAGGAAAATAACTATGTTTTCTCTTGTTCTGTATCTTTAAGCTTTTGTTCTTTTAAGAACACGTTTAATGTTGATAGCTTTTGGTTCTTCACGTGAAACAACAAGATGCTGAAGCTATTCAAAGTTTATTTTCCACTGATAATTATAAGTGCTCGTTCAAAACAGAAATGTGATTTTTTTTTTGACGTTTTTAATGCCTCGTGTTATCATAATGTGTGTATTGTATATTTTTTTGCTGGTTTGTTATTCTATATAGGTTAAGAAATGCTCGATTCGAAAATTCTTTTGTTTCACAGATATTTTATTGAATCTCGGTGTTGTTTTTTTGTTATATTATTTAAAAAAAATGGTCTGAACAGTAGGTAAAATAAAATCATGAAAAATTATCGTTGTTCGACTACAAATCAATGACGTTGGTAGTACATTAAAAACAGACACTTTAGTTTTCGGACAAAAGATTTAAATTCAAAAAATCCTGGAGATGAGCGCTGTAAACATTTTAAACATCAAGATTATTCATCGATATTAGATGCAATTGATGTTAATCACCATAATCCATCGATTTGGAAAATCACTTCTTGATGGGCTCCAGAACAGTGAAAACTGGTCTCTAAAAGGTCAGAAACCCTTTTTATGAAGCTTATGAAATTATGAAGCTGTCATATTATAAAGTACATTAAATTACGTACATTCTCCTATTTCGAAAATCATTGAATATGCAAAGTTATAAAACTCCATGTGCTTTAGTCGTGAAAAATGTGTCCATAACCTATGCCTGTTTCCATTTTATCAAACAAGTTCTACGTCTAAAAATATTGTACACAGGAAATTTGATGCGACACCTTGCATCGTACTCCTCCTTTTCTCACTTTTTCTCCTAAACTAAATTTCCCCCTTCTTTTGATACAAGCTTTATTCTTTCAGAAGATAAGTATTCTGTATTCTGAGTGTGTATTCTGAAAGAATAAAGCTTATATCAAAAGGAGGTGGGAATTTAATTTAGGAGGAAAAGTGAGGAAAGGAGGACGAGTGCGACGTAAGTGCGACACTTTAAAAGAAAAAACGAGCTATAAGAGCCAACATATGACAGAGACATGAACAGAATACTGAAAATCTTATTTTCTATAGGATATCCGTTATTGCTACATGCAGAGGTTATCAGTTTCCGAATATAGATAATAATATCGTTCTCAAAGTATACTTGACGCATTTACTATACAAAATCTTCCTCTTAAATGAAGAATGATAATTTCAAAGCCTGTATTTTTTTTTTCAGATCTCTTTCTGCAATACTTCATGCACTCAAAGCGCTCTCCACCCTACGCTTCTTTACTGATACACTCATTCACTCAACCTACTATTTTAAATTCATCAGTTGACAGTTTGCATAATATTGGACAACATTCTGGGCGTATATCAATAAGTATTGTAAGAATAAGCCTGACATTTCAGCCACAGTTAGTTCAGGAGACGACAAAGGGAAGGCTGAGTTATTTAGTAAACAATTTTCTAAATCATTCTCCACGATCGAAGACCCCTTAGCTAAGCCAAAAGAGTAACTGCTATCACTTTCTCGTTTTGAATTTCTCGTTTCTGAGTTTCTTTCCACAATAATACATTTTAATAACACACAAGTGACAGTCTTGACGAAATATCAGTTGAATTTCTCAAAGGTGCAACAGCAGTAATTGCGCTACAGATGCAACACGTTAACAGATCAGTAATTACTGGAAAATTTCAAACATTTAGAGAGAAGTCATCAACAATTGATGTACTCGTCTGTTTAACTCAGAAAATGCTCGACTTCATGAATAAAAAATGGAAAAGCTATTTGTGAGTATCTCATTCGATTTCCGTAAGGCTTTCGACAAAGTCCCAAAACAGCTTCTTTTATCAAAATTATCGGCGCTGAGGATTGATAAAAGTCTCTATCTCTGGTTTAGCTCGTACTTGCACAATCGAACTTAACAAGTAAGAGTAAACGATGAGCTTTCAGACTCGATTACCATCTTGTCTGGCGTCTCCCAGGGGAGTATTATTGGTCCCTACCCTTTCTCATATCTATAATCATTTATAATCTTTGCGGAACGTGTAATCGGATGCTTATCGAACTTGACGAAGACAAATGTTGCTGGATACTTTTTTATAAATCATCTTCGTATCTTTCTCCGTTAAGGCTCAGCTTGGGAGAAGAGTAATTACAACGTGTATCTCAGTTTTTGCGTAAAAGGCTAAAAACACTCAATTCTGCTGATTTTCTTTTCCGTTCGAAATTTTTTGTCATACATAGTCTGAGAAAGCAACGACCTCATTGAAATTTAACTTGAACTGAAAAATTTTACTGAGACTAGCTGAGACCATATCTGAGAGGTTACGTTTTTATTAAAATATTTCTAATGTTGTCTTTTCCAGTTATAGAGTTTTTCAAATAAAACACTTCGATGTTTTTTTCAACCGTAAACGACGACTTACGCTCAAATGCGGTTGTATTCCATGCAGACGTAATATCTTACCGTATATAACCGTTGTAAAAAGCCGTAGACGATCGTAAACGTTTTCTTTGCGGTCAACATCTCGTCGAATCAGTGGATATTCCGTCGAGTTATAAATATTCTGCGTAAGCATTACTTCGTAGAACGATGTTTCTTTGTACTAGTTCGTTTAAAAGATGGCCAAAAAAGAAAGTTATTAGCTGCTAAAGCACGAGTAGAGATAATGATGTATTGTCGGTAAAAAAACCAGTGGACTCAGCTATTATTTGAATAGCTTTGGACAGAAAGTAGCTAGAGAACTTCGGGTTCCGCTTTTCGAAAGATGAGGCATGGGAGCATCTTTTCATAAGAGAAGATAATCTCGGAAAGCTTTTTTGAAGTAGATTTTCTAGAGAATCTTTCGAAAACCTGGCCATCGTTCAAAAAGATGAAATATAAATCTATTGATTTTTTCGGCAACCTCAAAAATGGATGGAAGCATGGGTTATCGATCATGCTGGGTTATGATAATGTTTTTTTTTCGAAAAAACTTCAAAAATCTAATGAAAACTTATACTACGCGAAATAACCCATTTTAGGCTATTTTTACCGAAAATTAAAAACTTCTTAACTTAGTCAGAACGGATTCAAACCGCTCTAGCATATCGAGATATACTCTATTTTATCTGCGCTGTAACTTAGAGCTTAATAAAAGTTTAAAAAATAACTTTGGTTGTTGAAAGGTTTTTTTAGAAATCTTTCGGAATAGGACAATATTTTATACTATTCTCAAGCACAGAGCCAGGTTGCGTAGAAGAGAATATTCTAGATTATCTTTCCGTAAAGAAAATCCGTAGATTTATACTTCATCTTTTTGGACTATGACCAGGTTTTCGAAAAATTCCCTAGAAAATTTACTTTTACTCTTATGAAAAGATGTTCCCAAGCCTCTTCTTTCGAACAGCGAAACCGAAGCTCTCTAGCTACTATTTGTCCAAAGCTATTCAAAATAACGGCCAAGTCCGCAGTTTTTTCTAACCGACAAGTTTAAGTTTTCATTATCTCTTAGGCACAGATTTCTTTAAATGTGAAACTCTATAGCTCCGTTTTATCATTCAAATTCATAAAAAAATATCGGAATACTTTGTATTTAGATTCGTAGTTTACACGCTGTATTCGAACTTATACGCAACACGATTATATTCTAATAATCATTTTTTTAACAAGAATATTCAATATTTTTTCTATTCTAACATCTCATATGACGATATTTGTACTGAAAATATTTCAAAAATATCAATGGGATAAAAGTATAAGAAAACAAAAGGTTAGCAAATTTTAACGCAGTTATTTTTACAAATAAAATTATTAATAAAAATATGAACCTGGAAATTATTTCTATTTACAGTGTCAAATTGGTTCTATTTGCAAGTTCAAGGTCAATCTAAAGTTTATACAAACGTTCGATGAATGAACTAGTCTTTTATCGAGGTTCGGCAATGAACTTTATTCAGTATTTTAATAGTTTAAACATTAAGTTTATAGATTCAGTAATCCGTTGCACGAAACCGCAGGTGGGTGATACGGATAAAAAGAGTATGAAACCGCATTTATTCTTGTAATCATCGTATAGAAAAGAAGTTGAAGGTAAGTCGTTTGTGTGTAAGTCCTACACTTGACATGATTTGGTCCTTCAATTCTAGGACTCTTGATCAGACTGAAATTTGACAATAACATAATGAAAATTTATTTATTATCTATTGTCATTATTCTCTTGGCTCGTTCATCATTATGTCAGCAAGACGAGAATTATTCGAATGAGGAAGAAGATTTCGATATAAAATCCTTATCATCATCGTTAGCCGTTGAAGATGATGTAAAACTCGATTTACAACTGAAACAGGCTGATGCTTGGGATGTTGAAGAAGATTCGGAAGAGGAGTCTTTCGAACAAGATGATAAACAAGAATTAGATTATGATGATGCTGATACAGATTTGGAAGCAAAACGTAAGAAACCATCTCAACACGATAAAGATGATAAGAAAAAGGATGAAAAACATACAACACACAAATGTAGACCATCAAGACGACATAGACATCACCGACATCGACCACACCATAGACCATGGTTTCATCAACAACACTCAGGTAAGACGAGACATTCTGCTAATATTCTTGCACGTAGAATTTGTTACTAATTTGATGTACGTTTTTCTCAGGACACAAGCGTCCAAGCGATCACAAAGAAAAAGAACGACAACCGCATAACAAGCCACACCACAGTGAATCGAACAAGCCACATCACAGTGGATCGAACAAGCCACATCAGAGTGGATCGAACAAGCCACATCAGAGTGGATCGAACAGTCAACATTCAGGTCAAAACGATAATAAAAATAAACACCCATTGAATAATCAACACGGTAAGCAAATATATTTATATTGTGATAGATAGGCTTTTATATAACGTCTCCAAAGATATGAAGAATGGATAGGCTATGTCAGCTAAGGTTAAACCATTATCTGTCATTGTTGTTTCACTATCTATAGTCAATCTATAGCGATGTTCTTTCTTTCTAAATCTTATGAATATCACCAGCGTTGTTGTTATTTTGTAGGTCAAGGTAACAAGCCATCATCAAATCAACACGATACAACTGGTTCAAATAAAAATCGTCTTTCCACGCAAAGTTACATAAATTGGGGTAATGACGGTGGTAAACCATCATCAAATAGGGATCCATCCAACCAACACCAACAGCAACAGCAACAGCAATCGCTGAGAGATGATAACAAACGCACGACCCAACGATATAAACCTTGAACAAAACTGCTGTGAAAAAAAAGACTTCTGAGAAAAAATTTAAAATTATTTAGTGTTTAATTTAATTAGTCTTAGTAGGTACTTTTTTTGCTTAATTGATAATTTCGTTTTACAAATAAATTCATATGTAGAATTAAGGTCGTAAGACAGTATTTAAACTAATTTTTGAGAGACACTATTGAAGTAGAACGTCTAGATCGGCAAGTAGCAATAACGATCAAAATTATTCAGTAGTATTTGAATCTTAAGCACGACTTTTGTCACTATGTCAAGAAAAATTTCAACTCCACAAGTTCAAAATCATATACGGCAAACTGTCAAAATATTCAGTAGTGATGCTCTTTAGATACATTCTTCCTCGAACAGAAGAGTTTCTGTCTTACATCAGTGATCGGATCTAGTTAAACATGTTTCACACTGAATTTCTCTTGTTGTGGTGTTAATACTGCGTATTGCGTAATTTACATGCATTGTCTTTCAAACTTGAGCGGAGCTAATGAGCAAGACTGCACATGTTAAAACTTTGTATCATTTGACAAATTACTTAAATTCTGTTATCTACTTAAAGAATAACTACTAAAAGGAAATTTTTTTGTAGTTTTATGCCCATTACTTTGCCAAAATCGTAATTGAGACGCCTCATTTACAAGTAGAAAATTTTATCTAATTTTTAAATAAATGAAAATAAACATATATTTTCACAATGACATCATATCGTACAAGAAAAAGTAAAAAAAATAATACTAAACAACATCAAATGAACAGAATAAAAATTTTGTGTTACGGACTTGTTAATTAATTCCACCGAGTTTAAAAAGGTGTGTCAATAAGAAAAAATATGTGTTAAATTACAAAAAAGCTCAAAGGCATGGATATCTTAAACTGATTATCACAAACATATTATATTCCCTCAAAAATGAGCATATAGGCAGAATAATTTTTAATTTGATAACAATCATTTGTTGTCCGATAATACGCGTAGAATAAACTCCGATACATCATTTATTTCTTTATCACAACTACTATGCTCCATATTATATTCATGGAATTGATAATTCTTAAAACCAAAACTTTCTAGTGCTTGTGACGTTAATTTAGCCCATTCTATCTGTACAAGTGGATCTTGTTTACCATGGCACTGTAATATGGGCAAATTTATTTTTTGATCAGCAGCTTTAATGGCCTAAAATGTAAAAAATATACACTACAGTCATACTCCATCATTAATCACGATATAACTGTATTGTGACCACTCTAAAAATCATGATTAAATGTATGCATAATCTTTAAGTTGTAAAATTGAAATAGTATCCGACGTAATTTCATGACTTGTTTTGCCATTGTTGAATTAAACAACTCAACAATGGGAAAACAAACAGCAACATATCGTAAATTAAAACTATTTTTTCTTTTGTTGTGGATATTTTTCTTTGTTTAACGTTTAGAATAGTAACAGGACTCACCGTGCACTAGACTGACAAAAAGAAATGAACAAACTTTAACCCAGTTTTTCCGTATTTATTTATTGTTTGCAATCACGATTAGCGTGGAAACACTTTTCACTTAACTAACGATTAGAAAAGATACAGTTACACTACAAAAATGATTGATTTTAATCACCATTAAGGGTGTAGTGTTAAATTATGTTTAACATTTAAACTTACATCTGGAAATGTATTTGCTAACGGAAGCCAACTGCTCAATGCAATACAACCGCCTAACAACCAAGGAGCAGCCAAAGCTATAAAAATGAAAATACATACAGTAATTCTTGCAAAAAAAGATATGTATCTCACCTGTATGTAACGCTACAGCGCCGCCCCTAAAAAGAAAATTTTCTTTGTCAAGATGAATACTTTTTTTTTCCACGCCTACAACCTACTTACATCGAAAATCCACCGACTATGATTCGTTCTGGAGGAATACCACTTTCAATTTCTTTATTTACCAATTCAAGTACTAAAAGAAAACATTCAAAGTAAACGAATATATGTTAGATGTAATCAATAAAAAAAAACGTATTATTTTAGCTACTCTTTGACGTACATAATTTTGTCGATGTTTCTATTCCTTCGGTGTCTTCGACAGCATTTCGGCTTAAACCTTTCACATCGAACCATGACGTCATTTCCATGCCAAAATTTAACGTCACTTTTCTAATTGCTCTAAATAAAACCAAAAAAAGATTTAAAGTTTTACGTTTATAAAACATCGTAGTAAACTTACGCTGTTGGAAAAATATATTTAACATGTGGCGTTTTTTCTGGAATACGATACATTTTAAATGCCTGAAGCCACGATGGTCCCACATCTCCTAATCCATGTAAAAATATCAACTAAAATGAAATGAACATATAAACATAAAACTTGTAAAGTTATTACACTAAAGCCTTACACTGGCTGTGTGTTTGATAGCTGCAGGTATGATATCTCGACTCATTTCTTTCAATATTTTTTGTTGTTTATCACTATTTTCTTTGGTATTGGACTCTGGTTGTTCGGTTTGATCTGACAGTTGATTAGCTCTAGATGATACACAATTACTCAGTAACCACGTATTATGGCAATTTTCCATACAAAAGAGCAAAGATAAAGCAAGAAACTAATAGTTTAGTTTCAAAATCAAACAGATACCTTTTTTTAATTAAGTTAAGGATCTGAAACAAGCACAAAAAATTCTTACATGTCATTAGAAATATGATCAGGACAAGTTGTAACTTTATCTAATTGGCAGTAATGATTGGTGTTAGTGTTCTCAGTATGCACCAGTAAACAATGGAAAATAGTTAACAGGATAGAAATACGCATATGCGTACGAAAATTACTTGGTCGAGAAAAGAAAACTGGTCCTTCGATTAACTTGTTTGTTAATTATGTTACTAATGCACCGTCAACTACGCTACTTAGTACTGCTGTACTGTTGTTGTTAGTTTTTTTCCAAAAAATATATTATTGGACCTCATTAACAGCTAATGACAATTGCTTAAAAGTTTAATTTGTAAACTATAGAGTAAACCAATAAAACTTAAGAAAAGGGAGGCAGCGCAGTTCTACGAGTGGTGACTATTTTTACTGACCGACCGACCTTACTGACCAAATTTGATTGGTGTAACCATGGGATAGACCGATCAAATTTGGTTAGTTAAGTCAGTCGGTCAGTAAAAATAGTCACCACGGTTCTTGTCTACATTGTAAGAAGTTTCTGCTATTAGTAGGTAACGTCAGCAGTTATTGGCAGCTATATAGCTGCCAGAAGAAAAAATGTGTAGCGGTCAAATATGGCTGACAAAATAATAAAAATTTTTCGACTTTAGGTGGTTGTTTCTAGTAACAAACCATCTCGTAACTCAAGTATTAACTAAGTCTCTCAATAAAAATAGATTTGGTGAAGAAATAAGAAAACAAAGTTGAAAAAGGATTAGGCCAGGCATATATAGGTGGCATCCCGTCAAAGAATGATTGATCAATGTATTCAATACGACTTACTTGTTTTGCTTTCCTTTGAAAATCAGTGGCCATTTTTGGCAGGTATTATTGGTGGGTAACTTCTTTCAACAGCGGTCCTAAACGTACAGTACGTAATATTTTTGAAATTGCTTGTTTTAAACAGCTTTTATCGCGTTTGTTGTATGAAATTCAAATATTCCTTTTTTTTAAACAATAAGATAAAAATTATTTTTATTTTTGAATTTCTATACTGCTTTCGGTGGAACTATCTGCATACTTTTTTTCATTCAGATAAAACTTGTACTTAGCTCCTTGATTGAGTTAAATTGAATGTTTTTAATACTTCAACTTGTTCCTTTGCTCTAATTATTCGACAATGTCTGACGAGCGCCCATATAAAGTTCACATAATTCGTAAGGATCAGCATTTGTATGATCAAGAAGTTGACGGCATATCAGCTGATTTCAAAAAATTGGGTTCACAAAAGCTTGATCTGTTACAGTATTTATCTTTACATGATCATTGGCCCATCACTATCGGTTCTGCCGTTGCAGCATGTGGCAGTGGATTCGTAGGTAAACATGCAATCATTTTTTTGAAGTGTCTTTATATTCATTTTTTATTTTCAGGTGTCTTGATAAATCGCCAAATAGTCAAAAATTTATCATTAAAATTAGTAACTAGACAAGGTCCGACGATGGCATCGTGTTTTATTGTACCAGTTTTGGCGCATATTGCATTGTACTATAGTCTTGTTTTACGTGACATAGCCGGTGACCCTAATGCGTGTTCAACTTGTTTAGAAATACGTACATTATCATTGAGTCTTATAGCGCCTACTATGGCCACATCAGTTAGTTTACTGGCAAATATATCCGCTTCTTTACTTCATAAATCGATTAGATTACCACCTTTACAATTGAGTGCATACAATGAATGGATTAATTTTTTAAAAAAATATCCGTTGAGAAATTTGTCACGTATTTTCATATATGGATCTGTATTTAATATGGTATTATCATCATCTATACTTTATGGACAACAATACTACTGGAAAAATACAATTGAAAGAAAAATTGTTGAAGAAAGACTTATAACGAGGAAAAGAGTCGTCAAAAAAAGTCTTTATACAAAATTCAAAGATGTTGTAAACAGCTGGATAAAATAAGTGTGAGGAGGTTGTTTTTATACTATGTTTAGCCTTAATTTTTGCACACAAATGTCTTTTTCTGTTGTAAGGAACTTTTTTTTTGTAGGACACCAACTATATCTGTATCTGAGACAAATACTAGTCACACACATCTTCCTCAATGTGCTTTACAACGTCACACAGTATATAGCTTGTAATGTGAGAAAGAAGACGTGATTCTAAGATCGTTGTGTTACCGGAGAGAGCATAAATAATACAGGAAGAAGGTCAATGTTAATATAGACTGCATGTTGCTTTATGTTCACTATTTCAGATATTTATAAAATGAGTAGTAAGCAACAGAAAACAACAGAAAAGAAGAAACAACAGTTAGTAGACAATAGCCAACAGCCGGTGGATAATAGTCAACAGTCAGTAGAAAAGTCATCGACTGGATATGGACTGACAGTAGTGGTTCTAGCTGGTATTTTCGGTGGAATTGTAGCGTTATCATTACAACCAATCCTCATGATGTTTTATTCACAAGTTGGATTGATTCATCCGCAATCATCGAATTTATTTACCGAAACAACAATTCCACAAGTGCAAAATTTGGTTAAACATCCCAAAACACAAGAGAATAATACATCGCCAGTGTCTTTACATAATATTAAACCGGAAGAGAATAATACTCCTTATTCTGGAAAGAAAACTAGTGCCGATTTAACGGAAGATGATTCGATTGAGAATCAAAATAAACCGATCATCAGTAATGAACATGTTGCTATAAAAACGATAGAAGCGAATGAGAAAACAATTCATGAACAACAACCAATTCACTTTACTAAGGAGTCTACTAAGCAAGAAGAAAAAGTATCTGAAACATCAACAAAAACAACAACCACAGCAAAGAAGAAGGAGAAAAAGATAGAAAAAGAAAAACCAAAGGTCAAAGAGGAAGAGATGAAGACAAAATCGAATAGAGATTTCGTTGAACATTCCAAAACAGAAGAGAATAATACACCGCCAACGTCTTTGCATAATACTAAACTGAAAGAGAATACTACTCCATCTGGAAAGAAAACTGGTGCTGATTTAACGGAAGACGAATCGGCTGAAAATCAAAATAAACTGATCATCAGTAATGAGCATGTTGTTATAAAAACGATAGAAGTGAATGCGAAAACAATTCATGAACAAGAACCAATTCACTTTACCATGGAGTCTGCTAAGCAAGAAGAAAAAGTATCTGAAACATCAACAAAAACAACAACCACAATAAAGAAGAAGGAGAAAAAGATAGAAAAAGAAAAACCAAAGGTCAAAGTGGAAAAGATGAAGACAAAGTCGAATAACGTTGATGATTTGCAATTAGTAGATGTAACTGGAACACATAACGAAGTGCCGGATGAAGTAAAAAATTTCAAGAAAACAAAAATAAGTAAGTCATAGAATACTTTTTTTATTCTCTACCTTTGAATGTAGAACACTCTTAAAAAATAGTTTATTATCACATTATGTAAGTGTCTCTCTTATCATTTCATTAATGCAATAATTGATTATGGCTAAATCTATTTTCCTATTATCTATCTTCATTGCGTTATTGTTATAAGGTATGATAAAGACAAAAAAGTTGTGGATACCTATCCCCAATTCAAACGGTGGTCATCGACGAGTTCCCCCAGTAGAAGTTTGTGCTGGAAAAACGCATGGAAGTAGCGTAAAGTAATTGAAATAGGATTTTGTTTGACAATCTGCTAAATCCAATCTACTAGCTCATGAAATGATTGTGTGTGTGCGTTATTGCTCTACTGCGCTATTGCGCTAAGGCTAAATTGCTCTTCATCTATTAGGTTATGCAGTTTTACTAGATGTGTCATTTTTTTGTAGAATTTGGCTATTTGATGAATTTCTGTCAAAACAAGAATGTGATAATTTGATCAAAGTACACAAAGAACACGTCAGCAAAATGCAACGAATTGATCCAATTATCTGTTTTGATAGTATCAAAACGTTAAGAAAACATTTAAATGATTTAAGACCAAGTGATAATATTGATGTAACACCAAATGATTTTACAAAAGGTTAGAAATTTAGTTTGTTGAACATATTTGACCGTTCATCTATATTTAAGGCACAATGTGTTTAAATGCAACTTTTTCTTCAAAATTAAAAGAATGGGGTTTGAAATGGTCGTATTCAACAGCATTTTATCCCGGTGAATCGCCATTTTCAGATTTATTAGCAAAACGTATTGAAGAAGGAACAGCAATGGATAAAACACATGGAGGAAAGTTTCAAATAACATCTTATCCAAAAGGTGTTGGTAAGTTACTGGAAATATCTTAATGAAGAACATGAATATTAATAATGTCTTTTTTTCTTAGGTTACAAAGATCATCAAGATTGTACCATAGGTGGAGGTAAACAAGATCGTTATGGAACATTTTTGGTTTATTTGAACGATGTATTCAATGGTGGTGAAACCGTCTTTAAAGGTATATTAGCATTTGAATAATCATCTAAATTGTACTAAATATAAAAAAAGTTAAACTAATGACTTCAATATCTTACTCAATGATAAAGAGAGATTAATATTATATCTGTTCATTTTTTAGAATTGGGTATCGATATCAAACCAAAAGCAGGTTAGTTAGTGCTCAAAATGATTATATTTTTTCTATATTATTTTCTATTTATTTATAGGTCGTGCATTAGTGTGGAATAGTATGAATGAAAATGGTGTCTGTGAAGAAACGAGTATTCATAGAGCAAACAATGTTGAAGACGAAGATGGAAAATATATTCTTCAACGATGGTAATTTTTACTTTTATAGTTTGTATAATATTCGTATTCAAAAAATATTTTATTTAGGTATTATTATGAAAATTTTTTTTCTTTGGGAAAACGACCGCCTGAACCAAATGAGCCAGAACGAAAATTGGGTCAAGCAAGAGTATCATGTGATGAATATGATATGGGATCTTGTCGAGCATACGGTATGATTTTAAGATATTGAAAAAAACGAACAGACATTATCTTTTGTTTGTAAATAATAATAAAATCTTTTTATTTTTTAGATGAATGGAATTATGATCATTTAATTAAATACAGAAATGCGAAACATAATCTAATTTAATGTTAATGATATAGATTTTGTGTTACATTTAATTATCGAAAAAAAAAATTATCATTTATAACATTTATTATGATTATTTATTCTTAACATTAGTTGGATATTTTATAAGTCTACGTTTTAGTTTAAACTCTCATTCGTTTTCTTTATATTTTTTATTTTTCTTAGTGACAAGTTTTTTGATTTACCGATTTTTCGATATTTCATGTTTTTATTAAATATATAAAAATTATAATATGACCTTCAGGAATAGAGGCAATTACCTTGCTTATTATAGTGAAATGGTCTATTAGTGTTCGTCACATCTGTTTGATTTGAAGCGACCATTTTAATAAAATTAAAAGAGATCGTATATTCTTCTCTGACTGAAGGCATCAGTTGCTTATATTGATTATAGTACATGATTTAATTCATTGTATCCCTTTTACTACAAATTCATCTGTTTGTTTAAAGGAGGAGAGTTTGTCACGTGAAATGAAACAATTTTATTGTTTGATTAGTAACACTATATTTATTTACTTTTTGATGAGCCTTACTTTGGTTCAAGTATTTTGAATGATGATTACACATAGTTCTATTAATCTAATATAATCTACACATGGAATCAATGAATAAATATTCCATATTTCTTATTTGTTGTTATTTTAATAATAACCTGTTTCATATTTATTTTGTACTCGTGTGCGATGATAACAGGATTATAAACGAGAAGAAAGAAAAAAAAAACCTATCATGGAACAAAATTACTGTTTAAATACATTTGTGACTCATATCATATAAAATGACATTCACCTTGTTCACTTTCTGTTGTTATTGTTGCAGATCCTATTTTCTCTTTCTCTTTCTCTCTCTCTCTCTCTGCGGTTTATAGATTTCCTTATTATGAATTCTCTATTTTCTCTTTTCTCTTACGAGTTTACTAATATCGCTTCGTCTCTCCCTCCCTCTCTCTGATCTGTACCGTATACATTATTTTCAATCAGCACTCTTTTTTTCTTTTTTTTTTTTGTACATAAAAATTTTATCTATAATGAGTGACAGTCACCAGAAAAAAAAAAACTATTTATCGAGTATTAGGAGAAAGAAGAAAAAAAGAAAGAGCAGAAATATTGTACGACCAAAAAGATTCAAATATTAACTTAATTATTTACTTTTCTTTCATTCATAAATGAAAAAAAAGAGATAAAATAAATAGCGTATCATTTTAGCAACAATCTATTAACTGTTATTTCTCGTGTATGAGACACTATTGTATTTGAAAAGTATCCCACATTAACAACAATTATATTTCTTCTCTCACTTGATTGTTTACTAGATTTATTGTATATTTTTGATAAAATACTAAAGTTTTCTTTTCTATTTTAAAATATGACAACATAAACGAATATTTTATTCTTGATAGATACTTAAAAATATGTTTAATTATTATCAGAAAATTTTTTTAATATTAACTGTCATATTCAATTTGATTTTAAATTTTGGTAAGTTTATTTTATTTTAGGAGTCGAGATAAATTTCTCATAGATCATTTACTTAATTAATACTATTGTCATAAAATCTAAAATTGATTCACTTTATATTTTAACTGAATGTGAATAAAAAAAGAAAGAATAAAAAAGAAAACATATAGACTTGTCAGAATCCAATAGTTTATTTATATGAAAATGAGAAAATAGTGATACACAATTAATAATCAAATGATTTGATCAGAAGTAATGTGTCATTTTTTAATATACTTATGAGAGAATATAATCATAATATTATTCTTTAGTCTTAACATTTTCTTCTCATCTAATATCATTTTTTTTAGTTAATTAAAATTTGATTTTTATTTCAAATTTTTATTTCTCATTCAAAACTGTCTTTATAAAAATGTAATGTTTTAAACGCATGACATAACTATATGATCTTGACCATTTAACCTTGTCGAATATTACATGATGATATTTTTGTTTCATTCGTTTTCTCACTTATCAAAATGTTTTTTATCATATATATATCAATAACAATTTGAAGAAGTCGATGTAATATTGAGTTGTCAACGACAGTTGTTCTCATTCTTATTATATAATGATTATCATATATATGTGAACGAAAGCGTCATATTCTTGACCTGTTAATAGTTTTCAATCTTTTTTTTTTTTATTGGCTTAAACAAAAAGATTATTGAAATCTAATTAATGAATAGGTTATTTTTAAAATTTAGTTAATAGAATTTCTTGAAATAAAGAGTCATCTAGGAGAAAATGTTAATTTCATTCAAATAATTTGTTTTTTTACATGTATTTCACTTCTTAATGCATATAAAGATATTTGTAATTATATTACATCATATCATAAATTATACAGTGGAGGATGAAGTATAAATATATGAAAAAAAGATTTGCTGTTACTATGTGTTTGAAAATTTTTTTAATATATACGAAGGTGTTCGTGGGTATATTGCACTATTTTCAAACACATTGAAAATCTTCATTTTAATTTGTTACAGGTGGACCATAAATAATTATAATGTTAGTATTTTCAAAATTTCTTCTCTTCCTTATCAATTTAATCGAGAAAATTTTTTTACTAAAAGATAGTGTGCTCAATTCTCTACAAAATATGTATTGACTGTTTTATTGCAAAAAATGAGATGAGAAATCCTATAAAGTGCGAAAATGGAGAAAAAAATAAGTTAAACAAATACCTTTTAAGTTTTATTTATTAAACATTTGTAGGCGGAAGAAAGCTGAAGTAGTTATCGTATAGGACTTGAAAAACTCTATCTTCCACTTATAATTAAAAAACTTATTACAGTTAGAAGTGAGAGTGTAAGCGTAACGTGTTTTTTGTGGAAAATTTTCTAAAAATGATGATTTTCGACCAGAATTTAGTATTATTTGATAAAATCAGTATAGTCGAGTCAAACTTCACCCTTTTAGTTTGAATTCTTTTTTATTTTGAAGACCAATGAGTACCCTATATTTTTCGATCGATAAGATTTGAAAAAAAAACTTCCTTGTTATTACACGTAGGTAAGGTCCAAATCATTTGCTGTTTTGGCTCGGATACCGATAAGTCAATCGTTGTGTCTGATATTTTCACTCAAAACAAATTTTGTTGTACACCATGGGAGAGTGCACACTCGAAACTACACAATGTATACTCAAACTGCGCTTATTACTTGTGAAATTATTTGAAAAAACGTAGTTCTCTATGAGAAAATATGTCATTTTTTTCTGAATTTACGTACGATGAGAGGATTTCTCATCTCATTTTCCACCTTTGAATTGAATGAGCTAACTTTTAGTAAAAGAAATTTGCTCGATTAATTATAAGAAAGAGAAGAAAATTTGAAAATACTAACACTATAATTATTTATGGTCCATCCGTTAATATCTGCAGACTTTTGAAACATTCTAAGCGTTCAGAAAAATTAGTTTTGCCCTGTTGTGAACCAAATAATGTCTTCAGATTCCGAATTTTCCAATTTAATACTTTTAATACCATCGGAGACTATTCTGGATCTGCCAGTTTTGGTTCTTCTAACGCGTTCATATACGTTAACAGCGTGTAATCGTCTCCATTCAAGTGTACTTAATATCTTTTATACTACAGAAATCTGCTTGCAACATGAACAAGATTATTTAATAGATATTTATGAGAGATGATGAATCATTTCATTTTATTTTTAGCTCAAGCTGATGTTGATTTACAAAGTTTATTTAACAAAGTAATAAAGACTGATAATGATCGACGAGATTTGACCTCGATCGAACAACGTTTACCACGATTTCTTGATTTTGAAAGTAAGTTATTGTTCTAGAAACAGAAAAGATACCGATTTTATATAGTAAACCGTCTCTATTTTTACATTTTGATATGTCTTTGGGAATAAAGCAAGGTATTTTATCTATACATTTATTTATAAATTATAATTTCTTATAGTAAAAAGAAAAATCATTCAAAATATCATTTACGTAATTTTAGAAAAAAATATTCAGTTTTTTTGAGTATAAAAAAAGCCAAACGTTGAATTGTGTGATCAGGTTTTAGAAAATCCCACGTTATGAAAAAGAAAATTTAGTATATCTTGATTGGGAGAACGTGAGAAAATCTCAATAAAAATGTATGTATATTTATTTTTTTACATAACGTGGATTAAACTTGATTGTTAGAACATATTTTGGATTGATCTTAAATCTAATAAACTAGTGCCGAGAACATGATCTAACGTGATTTTATATGTAAAATGATTAAGCTCTAATACCATATAAATTTTGTCGAGGGGCGTGTATCATTCATTATACGAAATAGTTACAAAAATAAAAATTGTCGACTTACTCTAATTATTTATACAATAGTTGATTTTTTTTTCATGGACAATATTAAACAGAAGAGGTGTTAATTATTTTTTCATTTTCGTCTAAAAAAAGAAAATCGACAAATCTTCCTCAGTTTGATATTTTTAAATCTATTCTCCAAAAGTATGAAGATCAACATATTTCTTGAGCTAATTTTACTTTGAGACGTTATTTAAAACGTTAAACTTTTATTTTTTTAGTACCATCGTATGAAAACATCTCTGAGTATGTAATAAGAGAAAAAGATCTGTTATTGTGCTTTCTCATCAAACATTTTTTATGTTTAGTGTATTTTCCAAATTTAAAAATCTTGCTTACTCGTTACCGGGCAATATTGCCCGAGAAACCTCATTGGAAGCAACCAATGCTTACCAAATATTTGGTAGTATTCGACCAATATGGGAGTATGTGAAGGTATAAATAGACGATAGTCACCGAGTTTATAATGATTTTATATTTCAAATATTTTTCTATAGGATAATACATGGCAATCAATATTGAAAGTTTATACTTTACCACAAATTTTAGAGAGTTTTCAATTTAATATACCAGAGAAAATTTTAGATAAATTATTGTCATTATCGAGTGAAGATGATGTCATGAAAACAATTGAAAATAACAAAAATGGTCAGGTATTGAAAAGTATTTATTCAAAAGATGATTTAAATCATTTTTTTTCTTTTCCATTTCATTCTAGGGATACAATGATGAACAAAAAAGTACATTTGTTAAACATTATATTTCTAAGATAAATAATAAATTAAATCCAACAAATTTTCATCAATTAATAATCGAAAATCTTGGTATGGGACTAGTAGGTTATTTACCATTGGATTTTATAGTAAAAAATAATATATTCAATGATAATAATGTTTTACGAGATATGTAAGAAACACAAATTCTATCTTCTTTTTCTTATTTTGATAATTTTAATGACGTTTATATAGAGCAAATTATTTACATTTAATGTCTCCATTACAAAAAGATGCCTTAGCTACAAAAGTTTATCATGCATTAACATCAGATTCAACGTCTAGTCTCGTATCAGATAGTCCTCCACTAAATCTTGAATCATCTAAATCAATAAATATCCTAGCCGGTGTGCTATCAAGTTTATCTCCTCGACAAGTAATCAAAGTTGTTGGCAATAATATTGTAAGTAGATAAGAATCCATCGATCTTATTTGTCAACTTTGAGTTATTTCCAATTAGGGTTCCTTACTTAATAGTCAACAATTAAGATTGGATACGTCCTGTACAACTGCTTTGGGTTTATTGAATCGTACGATAGAAGCAAAAAGAATTGATCGTAATTTTAAACCAGATCCACAGTAAGTAAAATAATCAGTCTAAGAGAGAATTTTGATTAGAAAATATTTTTATTTCATTTACTTTTTAGACTTTTACACCGTTGGCAAGAATGCTATTCTGGCTGTGATCTTAGTGATTTATTAATAACTAAAAATGATATTAAAGAATTATTGAGAAATCATCCAAATCCAGTAGGATGTGAACGTTTGATTAATGAAGTAAAAAAAGAATATGATTTAGAAAATCGAATGACGACTGCAAAACTTAGAAGTGTCGCAGGTATAATAAAAAAAAAAAGCTTTTCAATAACACATCATCTAATAAACTTTTTTTAGATGTCTTTGGATCTTTGTATCGACCTGATGAAATTAGTAGTTTATCCCAAGGTTTGATGGCCGATCTAGGAACAGATGAAACATTTATTGAAAAACTTGGTCAACAAGATTTGGATCCAAATGAGGTAGAATGAAGATTTCTATTTTATACATGATAAAATTATTCTATTTCTCTATAGGCACGAGCAATAATAAATAAAATTCCACGTCATGTACAAGAAAAATGGAATAAAAATATATTAGGCAAATTAGGGAATTTAATTCCTGGATTAGATGATAATATAATTACATATATATTACAAAAACGTGGTAATTTACCAACATTATTCTCCGAACGAATGAAACCATTTATTAGAAAATTGTCTCCATCCAAAATTCGTCTTTTAATTGATAAGGCAGGATCCGTTTTTATTGTTCAATATAAAATTATGAAATTAAATCATTTTCTTTAGTATGCAACAGAAGCAAGTATTCATACGTATAAACCATTAGTGGTTTCTGACTATGCAAAAAAATTTATCTCATCAGCTACATTAATGAGAATAATAAATCAACCTCCAGATATTATTCGTTTTCTTCGATTTACACCAGCACAGGTTAGATTTATCATTTGATAATAAATAATTTAGACGATTATAGATTAAGAAATTAATTTAACTTTTTTTAGAATGTTTATTGTATACATGACCGTATTTGTTCTCATTTTTTAGGCTGCTGGTGTAATACAAAATCGATTTGCTAGTCTAGCAAATTTTGATGGTAGTCTACATTCATTATCTCATATTGGAAGTTTTCTTAACGGTTTAACCAAAAATGAAGTGGAAAAAATTAAACCAGAAGATTCTCTGCAAGCTGTTCGATCAGTATTCGGTTCAAAAGAAAATAGAAATATTGACAATGCTATGCAATCGGGCACAGTAGGTTAACAAAATACATCAGGCATTTAACTATTAAAAATCAATTTTGTTTTGTAGCGTTATGCATTTGGAAATGTTTTACAAAAGGGTCTCAAAGAACGAGAACACAGTGATAATCCAAATCAATATATTCAAGGTTTATTTCGTGAAGATGATCTAGTTGAAGATCTTAATCCGCAAATATTTGCTACAATGACAAATGCCGAATTAGATGCTGTCAATCGTTTAAAATCCGAACAAGCTGACAAATTTTGGAAGGCTGTTGGTAGTATTAATGAACCGGTTTGTTGTTCCTTTGTACAGGAAAATCGTGTCCGTCTCACTAATTATGCTCTCAGCCATTATGTAAGTTGGTTTTTGACTAAATATACATTTGATGTTGTTTGTGTAACAAACTCTATTGTCATCTAGGGTTCAAACACTGGTGAAATTGATGTGTCTAAACTTTCTCAATTGGGACCATTTTTAACATCTAGTCTACCTGCAAAAGATCTCAGACGAATAACAACCGATGGATTAATGAATAAACTTGATTACTTTAAATCACCGTGTTTTCAACCATCAAAAGAGCAAGCACAAGCACTCGGTTCACGTTTAAAGTAGGTGATAATAAGTATAAATTTCAGACAAAGTACTAATATTATCTCTTTCTTCAGTAATGCTTTAAATGAAGTCGATGATAAATTAAAATCACTTTATCTTGATTTAATTGGAGAATTGGCTGTATATTTACCTAATGAAATAGCAAGTTCAAAGGTACGTGGTTTTTCTAGTCATATTTATTAGTCATTTTTCCTCGGTAGTTATAGGAAGTATTAGCAGAGAGAACAAGTTTTCTTGCTAAATCAATAGAAAAATTGAATGTACGTGATGAACGATGTACATTACCAGATACGGATGGATTTTTGTCTAAAGCCAAGATTAATATAAAAAAGAATTTGATCAGTGCATTTATTGATAGCCTATCACACCGTCAAAGAAGACAAACGGATATGAGTGAGTTTATTAGCTTTTTCAAACTATATATTTTACACACTATGGCCTATAACTAGAAACTTGTACAAGTTAAGAAAATGTAATCCGAACCCGATCTGACCACATGAACGGGTCGGGTTGTAGATCTCTACATACAACATTAATATTTGTGTTTTTTAGTAGAAAAGAGAAATTTAACATGTGATAATCTACGAAAAATTGGCTCAGTCATTTCTGTGTTAACACCACAACAAATCGATAGTATAGCAAATGATCAATTATATCTTTGCATCGATCTATTTGGTAAACAAACGGATTTTGAATCAAGAAACGTTTATAGAATAGCTCAAAACTACATTCGGGTAAGTATAATAGGAATAAAAACATTACCAAAATGTAAGAGAGATTATTTGATGTAGGCGTTGACTGATCAAAACCGTCATTTACATTCAGTAACTCCAACTGAAATATTTAATTTGGGAGAAATTTTTACTGGTTTTACGCCGTCACAGTTGAACGCATTAAAAAATCAGTATTTCAAAGATGGAAATATTTTATCGGCTGTTGGTAATCTACAAAATTGGAACGCTGATCAGGTATAATATTATTCAATCTTCTCTGACTTAGAATATATGACCAAAATAGAATATATTTTAGCTTAAAGTATTAACTCGTTTTGCCACTGATGATTCGTCAAGATTGTCACCGATTTTGCTCGAAAATGGTGGAAAACTTCTTTGCGGTAAGATTTATTTCAATTAGAAAGAGTATAGTTAAACTATTTTGATTCTTTTCCTTATTTTTCAGTGGTTGATGATGAATTACTTCGTCGAACACCGCTAGAAGATGTCAAGTACGTTAATTAACCAGATTATCTCACTATTTACTCATCAGTATTTTTGTCTTGTAGATCATATTTAGTAATATTAGCTAATATTGATTGTCCTATTGGTACGAATTATTCAGATATCATGTTTGATGTAACTAAAAATGCATATAAAAATGAAATTTATCAACCACATATCTTCGGATCACTGGGCAATATTGCCGGTAAGTGATGATGATGCTATTGTTACAATTTGTTATTAATTATTAATAGTGTTTTTGTTATTAGCTGGATTAAAACCTACAGATGTTAACTTATTATCAAAAAATTTAATGAATTTTCTACCAGTCGAAGCGATAAAAAAACTTCCCAAAGGTAATATCAATCCTAAATTTTAAAGTTTAAGTATATTTCTTTTAATTTTAGATGTAATGCAACAATTTACTGCCGAACAATTAGACGGATTAAATATCGAACAAATTAAAGCAATTCCGTCAACTGTTTTTAGTGTTTTGGGAGCTAGTCAACAAAACATTTTGAATAAAATTTTGTATCCATTCATAACATCGGGTAAAAATCGATACTGATAATCAGAATTTTATTATAAGAATCACTCATTTTTAGATGAAGTTATAATTAGTCAGAGGTCAAATGGACCTAATACCGACGACAGTGGTATAAACACTAACGTTCTAGTATTTTACTCCTATAATTCTATGAGTTTTAAGTAATCAAATAGAAAGAACGTATGAGATTTGGTTCGATATCTTAATAGATTTGAGAATGTGAAGATTAAGTTCTTCTCTCTAATCGTAGTGTGCATTCTACTTTGGGTCTCTTGATTAGTTACCTCTTCTCTAGAAAACAAATGCATTTTTCAAACAAGTATTTGTGGACTTTATTGGAGAGTTTTTTTGTGTATCATGTGTATTTTTCTTCTTCTAGGTACAATCAAATTAACCAGTTCAATACCCATACTGTGGCTTTTATCTTTTGCATCTATTCTATTCTCATTTTTTAATCTTAGCGGAATGTAATTATTTTTTGAAACAAAGTTCATCAAAATTTTAGGATAAAGTATTTTTTTCAGAGAATGTAAGAAGTGGCGCTACACATATTCAATGTGGTACTGTCATTTTTTATTACAAAAGTTTAAGTTCAAAATACTATTCATCTATTTGATTACTCGATATTAAATTAGTTCTAGGATTTGTTTTTCAACTTTTTACATGTTTTCTCTTATGCTTTGTTGCTTTTTTAACAGTGATATATGTTTTTTTGTTTTTGAAGCAAAATTTGTGTCATTTTTATTTATTTTTTGTTAGAAAATAGTCGTTTATTGTTCTTTTTTCCAATAAAGTAGGGATATTTCGTTATAAACACAGTGTAGTAATAATGATCTATCATTCACTATGAATGTAAGAAAGACTGTTCTAATTTCACTTTAGATTATGTAAATTATTACCAAGCTAAAGTATGTACAAAATTTTTTATCTCACTGTTGTTTGATAATACTACTAAAAAATTTTAGTGCGGCACTGCCTTTGCTTATGTCATGTCCTGGGTGATTTTTGCTGAGCGGTACCGATACGCATTCGCGCCCTCCAAGTGCTGTATCAGTGCCAATAGATTCCTACTGTAAAAATACCACACCGAAACTTATTCAGGGGGTCGTATCACAAAAAAACTTAAGTCTGACTTAAGTCAGGACTTTTTGAAGAAGAAGTCTTTGACTTAAGTTTCACCGTATCACTAAAAAACTTAAGTCAAAGTGTGACTTAAGTCATGGGAAATGTAGTCTTAAAGTTAAGACCAAAAACTTAAGTCGGACTGAAGTCATTGACACATTTTTCGAATAGCTCAGGCATTTAACGATACAATTCGACAAAAACGACATTCTAAGTGATTAGAGAATAAATATTTCGTTATTTTGCGGGTTTTTATCCGAAGTTTGTCACTGTTGTCAACGACTTGTAAAAAGTAAACAGATCGCCAACTTAAGTCTTTTTCGTGACATGGTTTAAGTCTCCGGACTTAAGTTTTTTCGTGATACGACCCCCAGACCGTTATTGTTTTTTATTATAGTTGTTTTCATTTCATTTTTTATTGACTGGTACTAGTAGGTACCTGTATTATATTGTCATGCCATAATCATGTAGCGGAGAGCTCTTTCTTAGTTTGTTTTCTAAGCCAGAGTACATAGGATGCATGGTCTTCCTGAAAAAATATCGTCTGACGCGCAATATTTTTGTAAGAAGAGGACGAGAAACGGTTTCTGCTAGAAAATGGCCCATATGATTTTGAGTGAAAATGATGACAAATGCTTCCCTTTTCACTTCCCAACACTTCTGACTTTCAAAAATTCCTCCTAATCTCCTTGAAAAAATTATTTCATACCATTTTTCGTCACTAGTTCAACGAAGGTCATCCACTTTGTTTTGCTTATTCGACATTTATCTTGTGGCTAAGAAAAAAAAGCCTGTTTCTTCTCTCGCTCCCTCTTTGAAAGTCAAATTTTCTCCACCGTTTTTCGAAAATCTTCCCGATCCGACAGTTGATCAGGCAGCATTGAGAAATAACAATTCCAAAATGTTTGATCAAAAAAAAACCAAACCACGAGGTACGACTCAGTTGCAGAGATCCTATTGAGTCTCGACACTTCTTTTCATTCAGTACAGTTTCACTAATCGTATTCCATTCACACATCCTCTATTTGTGACGGTACGTGTCTATGCCTTAACGACAAATTTTTAATATCAATTCTAGAACT